CTGTTCAAACGACTGCCTCTTGACCTATGTACAGGTTCCTTATGACACAATTAAGTGTTCTGGAATTCCCATTCTTCGCAATGTTATCCATAATTTGTTATGATCCACACAGTTGAATGTCTTTGCATAGTCAATAAAACACAGGTACATACCTTTCTGGTATTCTCTGCTTTCAGCCAGGATCCATCTGACATCAGCAATAATATCCCTCGTTCCATAACCTCTTCTGAATTTGGCTTGAATTTCTGGCAGTTCCCTGTGGATATACTACTGCAGCTGCTTTTGAATGATCTTCAGCAAAATTTTACTTGTGTGAGCTATTAATGATATTGTTTGATAATTTCTGCATTCAGTTGGATCACCTCTCTTGGGAAAAGCCATAAATATGGATCTCTTCCAGTCAGTTGGCCAGCTAACTGTCTTCTAAATGTCTTGGCATAGACAAGTGAGCACTTCTATTGCTGCATCCATTTGTTGAAACATCTCAATTAATATTCCGTCAATTCCCGGAGTCTTGTTTTTTGCCAATGTCTTCAGTGAAGCTTGGACTTCTTCCTTCAGTACCATCAGTTCCTGATCATATGTTACCTCCTGAAATGGTCGAATGTGACCAATTCTTTTCAGTAGAGTGATTGTGTATTCCTTCCATCTTCTTTTGATGCTTCCTGTGTCGTTTAATACTTTCCCTGTAGAATCTTCAATATTGCAACTCGAGGCTTGAATTTTTTCTTAAGTTCTTTCAGCTTGAAAAATGCAGAGCGTGTTCTTCCCTTTTGGTTTTCTATCTCCAGGTCTTTGCACATGTCATTGTAATACTTTGTTTTGTCTTCTCAAGCTGCCCTTTGAAATCTTCTGTTCAGATCTTTTACTTCATCATTTCTTCCTTTCACTTCAGCTCCTCAAAGTTCAACAGCAAGTTTCAGAGTCTCTTCTGACATCCATTTTGGTCTTCTCTTTCTTTCCTATCTTTTTAATGACCTCTTGCTTTCTTCACGTATGATGTCCTTGATGTCATTCCATAACTCGTCTGGTCTTTGGTCATTAGCGTTCAATGCATCAAATCTATTCTTGATATGGTCTCTAAATTCAGGTGGGATATACTCAAGGTCATACTTTGGCTCTCATGGACTTATTCTAATTTTCTTCAGTTTCAGCTTGAACTTACATATGAGCAATTGATGGTCCATTCCACAGTTGGCCCCTGACTATGTTCTGACTGATGATATTGAGCTTTTCTATTGTCTCTTTCCACAGATGTAGTCGATTTGATTCCTTTGTATTCCATCTGGTTAGGTCCATGTGTACAATCGCCGTTTATGTTGGTGAAAAAAGGCATTTGCAATGAAGAAATCGTTTGTCTTGCAAAATTCTATTATTCAATCTCCAGCATCATTTTTATCACCAAGGCCATATTTTCCAACTACTGATCCTTCTTCTTTGTTTCCAACTTTTGCATTCCAGTCACCAGTAATTATCTATGTATCCTGATTGCGTGTTCAATTTCAGACTGCAGAAGTTGGTAAAAATCTTCAATTTCTTCATCTTTGGCCTTAGTGGCTGGTGCATAAATTGAAATAACAGTTGTATTAACTGGTCTTCCTTGTAGGTGTATGGATCTATCTTATCACTGATCACCATAGTACTTCAGGATAGATCTTGAAATGTTCTTTTTGATGGTGAATGCAACGCCATTCCTCTTCAAGTTGTCATTCCTGGCATAGTAGACCATATGATTGTCCGATTCAAAATGGCCAGTACCAATCCATTTCAGCTCACTAATGCCTAGAATGTCGACGTTTATGTGTTCCATTTCATTTTGGATGATTTCCAATTTTCCTAGATTTGTACTTCGTATATTCCACGTTCCAATTATTAATGGATGTTTGCAGCTGTTTCTTCTCATTTTGAGTCATGCCACATCAGCAAATAAAGGTGCCGGAAGCTTGACTCCATCCACGTCATCAAGGTCGACTCTATTTTGAGGAGGCAGCTCTTCGCCAGTCACATTTTCAGTGCCTTCCCACCTGAAGGGCTCATCTTCCAGCACTATATATCAGACAATGTTCTGCTGCTATTCATAAGGTTTTCACTGGCTAATTCTTTTCAGAAGTAGATTGCTGGGTCTTTCTTCTTAGTTTGCCTTAGTCTGGAAGCTCAGCTGAAACCTGTCCGCCACGGGTAACCCAGCTGGTAATTTGAATACCGGTGGCATAGCATTCAGCATCACAGCAACACACAAGCCCCACAGTATGACAAACTGACAAACGCATGGGGGAACAACCAGAAACAGAAATAACCACCAGAAAGGAAATAATGAGAAAACTGACACACTGTGTAAAATGTAACCAATGTCACTAAACAAATCTTGTAGAAATTGTTAAATGGGAATCTAATTTTCTGTGTAAACTTTTGACCAAAAACACAATAAAATATCATTTGGGAGAAAAAAAAAAAACCCTATGGAGCAGTTCTACTCTCCACACATTGGGTCACCATGAGTCAGAATCGACTCGACAGCAACTAACAGTGAGACTGAAGGTAGAGGCCTGGAGTAAAGGAAAAAAAAAAGATATTATCTAAATAGTGATCATGAGCGCTAATATAAGAAAGGGTGCTAGCCAAAATTCCATCGATGACTGAGGCAGAAACTTTCATAAAAATAGAAAAACACTCATGGAAGGGATAAAAAGATCTAAATAAAACCTTCACGATCTAGATAAAGGGAAAAAGATTCATTACTTTGAAAATACAGGAAAACATTGGAAGTGGTTTTAAATCTGGCTAATATAAGACGTAGTCCTTTATATAAAAATTATATTTGCTTAGTAGAAAAAGGTTGGACAAGTGTAACAAAAGAGAGGCTTTTTTGTTTACTCAAAAGAAGAAAGCATGGATAGAACACAAGATCCTTGAACAGCAGGGAACCCATGACTTGTAGATGTCCATATCTCTAAAGTGCAGGCCAGTACCTAGCACTTGTTGGTGGCCCTTGAGTCAACCTCAACTCATGGCGACCCCATGGTCAAGGGAATAAGACACTGCTCGGTCCTGAGCCATCCCCATGATTGGTTGAGGATAGAACTACTGTGATCCATTGGGTTTCCACTGGCTGATTTTCAGAAGTAGATCACCAGGCCTATCTCCCTAGTCCGTCTTAGTCTGGAAGCTCCACTGAAACCTGTTCAGCATCGTAGCAACGCGCAAACCTCCACTGACAGACAAGTGGTGGGTGCGCTTGAGGTGCACTAGCTGGGGATTGAACCTGGGTCTCCTTCATGGAAGGCAAGAATTTTACCACTGAACCACCACTGCCCTCATACTTAGCACTTAGACACTCAATAAATGTTGACTGAATGGAGCTTTACATAAAAGCTCCTCAGAGAATTTAAGAGTACAGAAAATAAGAAAAAGTTTATATCAAACAACAAGTTGGTATAATACAGACCACTGTGTTAGGCTAAGTAGAAAAAACTGTTGACAGGTAAACTCTTTAAAGAAACATTTGTTGCAAAAGTCCAGTTTATGGACAACTAATGGACTCATTCTGGGGCATCAGTAGTGTAAAATAAGAGTTCTGTGGTTATTCACTGGGAAAAATGAAGACCAGGTGAGCTCGCTGAGGAAACGAGTTTAAGCTAGTTAAGATGCTTGAGAGACATTCTGAAAGAAAGTATAATGAGAAAATAAACTGGACAACTAAATTAGACGAAGAGTAGAAAAAGTCTATGACAGATCTGGAAGTTGTCATGCTTTAATAGCATGTTGTTAATTAAGCAATTATTGTATCCATTTTACATTTTATTAGCTATTGATTTTTTTTAAACCATCATCAAGTTCTGCTGAAGCCTTGTTTAAGCTTTTTTTTTAGCTTTCAAAGCAATAAACGGAACCTCATACAACATACTTGCACCTTGGAAAGTGAAAACCAAAAAACCAAACTGGTTGCTGTTGAGTTGACTCTGACTCAAAACAATCCTAAAGGACAGGATAGAACTGCCCCATAGGGTTTCCAAGCAGCGCCTGGTAGATTCGAACTGCTGAACTTTTGGTTGGCAGCCGTAGCTCTTAACGACTATGCCACCAGGGTTTCCTGGCAAGTGAAGGTAATATAACCAAATCTTAAATTAACTTTTTTGGGGGGATTGATAATGTTTAAATTTTTTTAAATTATCAGGACTAAAAGAGAAATGTGATTAAAAAGAAAATGTGATGGAGAGTTATCATTGAGGATAACAAATTCTATTATTAAAATTAGTTGCTCAAAATTAACATTTATTTTACTCAGAATTAAACAATGGCGTTCCTATGAACTGCCAGCCAAAGATGCTCAGATTCTTTTTAGACGTTTTGAATAGTTTGGGAATTAAGAGCATTATGTGGGAAATCTAGAATGCACACAAAGCAGAGATAATATGAACAGGACATAAAGTTATTACTAGGCTGCATTATTTTCCCTCTGAACTTTCAGAGTTGAAGACTCAACGACTGTGCTAGAAGATCTGTGTAAATTCCCAGGCTGAGCTTCGCCTCTCCCCAGACCGGCAAACACACCATGCCCTTGCTTACCTCTGAACCGCTGCACCTGCTGCCCCCTCGCCTTAAGCACCCACTCCTCCCCACCCTTACACCTGGCCCTTCCTCAGCATCTCATGTCTCAGAGGTCTCCTCCTGCAAGCCTTCCCAGGCCACTTAGTCTAAGGTTCCCCTCTGTATTGTAATTGCTGGTTTATTTATCTGCATCTCTTTCAGACCTAAAGCTCTGTGACAGCAGACGCTCCCTCGTCCCAGATTGCTAACTCTATTCTCAGTACCCTGCATGCTAATGCCTGGTACATAATCAGTAAGCAATAAATACTTGATATTTGTTGAGGGAAGGGAGAGAGGATGGCAGGAGGGAGAGGCAGGGAGGCAGGAGGGCAGTCGGACAAGCTCAACAGGAAGCTTTTCCTACCAAAAGCAAAGCATGCCGCGTCCTTCAAGACCCCTATGTCTGCACTTACCTGCCAGAAAGAAATGTGGCTGTCAGTGTTTGAATAGGTGGCAAGATATCGTCCATCAGGAGCAAAGGCCACTGCAGTGATTGGCCCCTTGTGTCCATGGATTGTCTAAAATAAAATTCAGAAGTCATTAATGTGTGCGTGCCACAGAACCATTAGACACGCAACTTCACTTATACATGCAAATGCATTCCATGTTGAAGAAGTTATTTCACAGATATTTAAATACTGTTATTCTCTTTATTTTGTTTATACAATCAGGATAGAAAAATAGGAAAAGCAACCAAAGTTCTCCAACTGATATATTTAAGGGCTTCAATCCTGTTCTGACATGTCTATCGGTTTCCTAGTTGGGAGGGCCGCATGAGCCCAAAGAAAACCCACACCTTAACAGAAAAACTAATGTGTTAATTCATTTATGTCCATTATAGGTAAGATTTTTTACAACTAATTAGAAAGGTAAGAAACCGACCACCAAACCTATCCAAGAACCTAGCTCACCTGAAAGGAAAAACAAAGCTGTATCATAATATTCCTGTTCTGAAAAGAGTTAGAGGCTCTAATTCCAACTCCTTGGTTTTTCATGTTTTATACTTTGTTTCACACCAACGACACCGTATTTAAATGCATGCAGCTACAACTGGCAAACATACAGGTATGCATGTGTTGGAAGTTTGGACACACATATTAATCAACTACTATCAAAAACAAGTTAGCAGGGATACTTCTGAGCCTTTGCCAGACAGCTATCACTGATATCACTGATTTAGCCATGAATAAGAAAAGGACATTGTATTTTAGAATAGGTCTTTGTTAGAAGGCTTTTACTAAGAAAAAATTACACTCAAGGCTAATGATATTAATAATTACAGAAAACACTGGGATACTAAGAAAATTAACATATTATAATATTAATCACCATCCACTCAACTATTAAAGATCAAACACCTATTGCATTCATCAATATTCAGTCTGGCTTACAAGCTGTAGGCTGGTCTCCTCCCTTTGTCTAGAAAGAAATGGGGAAGTATGTTCCCTTACACTAAGACAATACAGGAAGTTTGTTCCCATCTGCAATTTTAGATGAAGAACTGTGAACCTGAAGTCTCACTGAAAGCATCAGGCTCGTTATGTGACTCAGCCCGTACACACTGTAAATTTCAGGAGGCTTCTTTCATAACTCATAGCAGAGTGCTCACAATGAGGAAGAGAGGAGAGAGAGGGGAATACAAGCACATTCCTCAGGGCTCTGCATTCTGTTGTTTCCATCACTCCTCTTTCAAGGCATCGTAACATCCAAAAGAATGTCTGTTTTTCAGAACCCAAAGAAAAAAGGAGGTAATCTTGGTGGTGCAGGCCGGGGCCCTGGGCAGGCAGGGAGCCTACTGAGTTGGACTGTGTGGGTTCAAGTCCAGACCCCCAAAACCAAAAAACCAAACCCATTGCTGTCGAGTTGATTCAGACTCATAGCGACCCTGTAGGACAGAGCTGAACTGCCCCATAGGGTTTCCAAGGCTTTAATCTTTACAGAAGCAGACTGCCACATCTTTCTCCTGCAGAGCGGATTGTGGGTTCGAACTGCCAACCTTACGGTTAGCAGTTGAGTGCTTAACCACTGTGCCACTAGAGCTCCTATCTGGACCCCATTACTAACTAACTGTGTGACCAGGTCATGTTATTTAACTTCTATGTTAGTTAGCCCAGTCTATGAAGTAGGGATGATGATGATGATGATACCTGCCTCATTACCTGTGAAGATATGAGATAATACATATATAGTACTCTGCTCAGTGCATGGCACATAATAAGAATTCAAAAAATGTTATAAATATTTTTGCTACTCCTCCTTGCTTAGAAGATGACCAAACAAATGTAAACAATCACATAACTTCAATGAATTGAGCACACTGTTTAATGAAGAAACAAGGGGGAAAAATGCCCTCACTGCATATATCAAAATCAGTGTCAGCATTCAGGGTTGCCTAGAAATATCACACAGATTCCAGACGGGGTAACTATCCATGGTGCTGGCCCACAAATGTAGTGCTAAATTAAACAACAGAGTGAACCTGTTGAACAATTATTGTCAGAAACCAGCTTAACATCAACTATACGAGAATGAGAATTATCGCACACAGGGAAAGAAAAAAAAAATTACATGGGAAAAACTGGCCAGTTCCACCTCTAATGTCAATTTAATAAGCTCACTGGGAAAGCAATTTTAATTTTTTTTTTTTAAATAAAGATTTAGTTATGCCAAAAATCTGAAATGTTACTGCTACTAGGCCAATGTGAGGTTACTTATGGTTAAGATAGTTGATAAGTAAAGCCTTGCCTTAAAAAAAAGAAGCTGCCAACTGAAGGCCCTTAAGCTGAAGCCAGCTTGGTTTGGTCTGCAAGAATGTTTTTCTAAGTCATCAGATTTCATGTAAAATCAAGATTTCCAGCCTCTCCTAAAAAACTGGAAGTCAGGTAATTCTGGCCTTTGTTGTCACATGGCAACATTAGGCACGGCTGAGTGAAGGCAGCCACTTCTGCCAGGGCACATATTCCCCATGTCAACAGTCCCAGCACTGGCACAAGCAAGGGCCTGTGTGCCCAGCACCAGGCTGCCTCGCTCATGGACTTGCTGCCTGGTCCCTCATGGCATTTAATGTAACCCTTCCATTAAAAATACTTGATTCAAAAATCATTTCTTCCATGTTCTGGGATCCCAGTATCCATCTCAGGTGTGAACACACTAAAGCCTCCTCTAAGAAAAACTGTAAGCTCCCCAAGGTCCAATTCTGTGTAGAAGTGGATTGATCCACCTTCTGGAGTTTTGGTCCCTAGATTCCAACACAGAACGCCAAGCCTGCCTGCTTCAGATTGGCATCCCTCCTTAATCAGCAGTCAGCATTACTTCAGACAATTAGAGAATTGACAGTGAACTTCTATAAGCCAGTATGTCTAAGGGATGTAACAGCCCAGTGGGCACATTACTGTACTTTCTGTTCACTAAGTTAGTCCTACCGCAAAGGCAGAAAACCTAATACACCAAGACCGTATTTGCTCCTTCGGAAAAGTCTTCACTAAATTTCTATTTCATATTATGCCTTCATCTTTTATAGAGGGTTGTACTTAAAACATCTACTTCAAGAATACTTCTGTGTCAGTTGAAGACATTGTTCATTATGTTATCTAGTGTCTCTAACAGAAGGTCCTGTGAAATAAGTTCTTCCTGGAATTTTTGGACAGGAAAATGTTCCTCTTTCAAAAAAAAAAAAAATTTTTTTTTTTTTGCCTTTTTAAAATCATGTAGCAAGAATTACATAATCAATCTAACATGTGTTTGCTTTACTGCCAGGAAATTCAGAACTAAATTTATGCTCATTCTGTGCATCTAATAATAAATACTTCCTACTCATTTCACAAATCATTGCTCTGTTTACATTTTGTGGTTGAGGTCCTCGTATATATATACTGACTTTAATTTTGTTAGCTCTTTAAAGTCTGTTTTGGGTAAAGGGGGACTGCACTTTAGATTAGAACACATCAACACACTAACACCCACAGACACATACACACACAGTATGGTACTGGTAGGTGCCCCACAGGGCTGTTTTTTAAAGCAACCTAGAAAAAACTATGGCGCACCATCTGCAGCTGACAGACAGACAGACCTACTGTCTTATAATCAAGTGCCACTCATGGTGAGTCAGAGAAGCTCGCGGTTTTAAGTGCTTTGGTGCATCTGGTGAGTTCATTCCCATCTCCCTGTGAGGGAGGTGCTCCAGTCCTCAGTGTGATGGAAATGTTGCCACTGTCTTTCGTTTTGAATCTCTGAACTTCTGAGGTCTGTGCAGGTACCACCTGAACTAACTTTAACCTCGATTCTGGCATTAGCGATGCAGCTGTGAGGGGGGCTCACCGCAAACTTCAAAGTGCTTTGTGACAGGGCAAACCAATGGTTTGGATCTTAAACGCTAGACTGTAGAAAGCATTTTCCAAAACAACAGGTGTCAAAATAAAAAAGAGGTTTGGTCGACTTTTTAATGTGCAAATGAGTATCATGTCTTGCTATATTTTTCATCAAAGAAATTGCTGTCTTGAAAAGATAGAAACGGAATACGAAGAAATTAATCTAATTCAGGAAGTGCTATGGAAACAATGAAAGAAATCAAGCAATTACCCCTAGCAGGAGACAGAGTGTTGCATTGTTAATCATCCTCCTTTTCCTATGAAAGAAAAGGAGTCGAGAGGCAGGATTAATAACGGGCAATACTAACACTTACCCACCAGTTTTTAACAGACACTTTCAATGTGCTCTGCAAAGAGATAGAATTAACCCTGTTGTACAGAAAAGGAAATAGAGACATGAATTTCTAAAACGTATTTGGTCAGTGTCAACAGAAGCCATGACTGTCTAGAATATTCTCCTTAAAATGCTCTTCACATGATTTGTCTCTTCCTGGGGTCCTTGCTATTCAGCTTCCAAATGACAAGTTTGAAAATTGAGAAGATCAAAAAGAATATTGTCTATTTATTTGCAGGTCTCATCACTTTTTTTTTTCTTTTAAGGAGAGGAAAGAATAATCAAACAAAATATTTTATTACATTGAAAATAAATTATAAAGAAAGAAAATTCCAAAGGTAGGTAAATTTTGCTATCATGAATACTATCACAAGGGAAAGCTTTATAAAGTACTGATCCATGTACTTTGTATGTATTTATTATAATAAACCAAAAAAAATGAAAGAACTTGGATGGGAACTTGATGGCCCCAAGGTATTTAGGGCTGAGAGAGAAGAAGACTACCTTGGCCACAGGCCTTCTTGGGGAATAACATGGCTTGTATGGATTGAGACAGGCAGCTGCCATTTTAGGGGTGCTTGAAGGATCTGCTGAACTAAAAAATGTCTCCAGTTGGCTGCACATGATTTCTGAAATTTCTAAAAACACAATTATTCCTTCGGCTGAGGCATTTTCCCTAGAATGAGCTTGTTATGTTGTTAGGTGCTGTCAAGTCAGGTTCCAACTCATAGTGACCCTAGGTACAACAGAAGGAAACACTGCCCGGTCCTGCGCCATCCTCACAATCGTTGTTATGCTTGAGCCCATTGTTGTA